ATGCAAAAATACAAACAAATGCGTCTATGGTCGGTGTATTTTCGACCTTTCCAATCCAGACGAGATCTCTCTCCCGTCTGTGTACGAGGGGGCGGGGCAGTTTACACACAGCAGCTGCTACATGCAGCAACACACACACACACACACACACACACACGGAGGATATGGCGGAGAGAAGCGCTCCAAGGTGTGGTTAAATGTTACCCGTCTCGATGTAGACAATACTCGTTGCCAAGAGAGTTCAGCATGTGAGGGCGGTAACACGAACAATTTGTCGAAACATTTAGCAAAAGTGCTCCACATTCAGACGGAGGAATGCACCGGGTTCGACTGTTTTTCTAGCAGCTCTGTAGCCCCATCCACGAGTAACGTTTCCACGTCAGGTGTTATGTATGCTAGCAGCACCACACGGAGTTAACAAAATGATACAAACATGGGTTAATGATTAGGTAACAGAGTTATTCTTTATTTTGTTAAAGTTTCAGCTATTCTGTTTACAGTTCTGTCATCAGATTATTTAATACGATTTGTTAAAACATTGTTGTTTCTTTTGATGTGAAATATATATTATTTTTTTGCAGGTCACCCTTGAAAAAGAGATCTTTTGATCTCAAGGGGCTTTCACCTGGTTAAATAAAGGCTACAAACAAACAAACAATTTATTTTATTTAAATAAAAAGCAATGTTAATTTTGTAAACATTTTGTTAAGTTAATTTAATAATATATGTATTTTATTGTCTCCATTGTTAGTTTCCACATGCCTAAAACAACCTCAAGCTAAATCTAAAAGTTGATGGCTAAACAAGAGCGTTTGAGAAATTGTGCAAGGCATACAGTAATAGTCTGAATAGTCGATTAGTCGTTTCATTAATCGATAGATTAATCGATTATCAAATTAGTCGTTTGTTGCAGCCCTATTATCCCATGTATAAATAAAACGTGTTATTCAGCAACCCTTGCAATTTGGGATTTTATTTTTGGTTGGTAGACCTCGGTGAGCTGGTCATTTCAAAAGTAGCTCACCAGCCAAAAAAGTGTGGGCACCCCTGCTATACAGCGACACTAGCGGCTCGGCTGGCTGACGTAATCGCTCTTCATGCAAAGCGAACGGGGGGGAATGGGCAGCGAGCAGCGAGCAGAGTGCCAGGCGGAACATGGGGGATTTGAATGGGACTTAATGTATCGATACCTGAGGCTGAAATATCGATACTTTCTCTGGAAACAAAATATCGATATATATCGCAGGATCGATTAAATTGCACAGCCCTACCCGACAGGCGCACGGACGCGAGGGCCCGCTCATCACTGCGCACACTTCTGTGACCGCAGTTTTAATTATAACTATTATTATAATTGTATTATTTTTAAAGGGCTACTTGCTAAATAAATCAATGATTTGACAATATAGATTTAGAAAAGGATTTGTTTTGCTTTCGCAAAGACAAATTGTCGGTTCTACTGCGTACCAATGGCTGAACTACGATGATAGCACTGATCAAGGTTTTCTGTAACTGTCCAAGTCTGTTCACATTTTCTTTTTTTTCTTTGCAAACCTCTTTTATTTTTAAATTGGATATTTCTAAGCTGTTTGGTTTTTGAAACAGTGCCTGTAAATAAAACGTTATAAACAAATTGACATGTCAACAATTTTCTACACTAGACATGTATGACAAGTAAATACAAAGAGGTAAACATGAGGTAACCATTAAGTTGTTAACATCTGTATGTCGGTATTAAATGTCTATCTTGTTGTGCAGTTTATCAGTGAATGTTTGAACTAATGGTAAACACTGTTTCCTGACGGACACAGCGTTGGTCGACCAGGTAGCACAGCAGGTGAAGTATGGACCGATGCAGACTCGCTGCTGGAGGGCTTGATAACCCACTACCCCTCCACACTCGTTGGTTTGGAACAGCACTTAATGCGGCGGACCCTCAAACGGAAGGGTAGTATATATAGGGGTAGGGTATAGGAATTTGGGCCTGGAGGTTTGGAATCGGCCTGAGAAATGAGAAAGGGCTCACGTTCCCATTAGTGTTTACTTCCTGTCTGTCTTCTTCTGCTGTTCCTGTTAGTGACCCAATTCCTGACCGCCCCCGACAACTTAACCCTACACACCACCCCTCCATTTGCTTATTCGCATGAAGGGCACACCACATTGAGGCCCAATCCCAAACCACGCCCTACACCCTACCCCTACACACTACCCCTCCGTGACGGAGTGAACTCCATGGAGTGGAGACGTGTGGTGCAGTGGGTTGTGCGTTGGTGTTCAGATCAGGGGGTCACAGGTTCAAATCCCACTGCAGTCAGCATGTCGTTGTGTCCCTGGGCAAGACACTTCACTGCAAACTCCTGTGGGGATTGCTCACAGTACTGAGTATGTAAGTCGTTTTGGATAAAAGCGTCTAACAAGTGACATGTAAGCAGGGTGTCCGCGGGGTCTTAAAAAAGTATTAAAAGTTTGAATGAATTATCTCTATCTATTTAGCGAAAATGAAGGCTATTAAAAAGTATTAAACGGCATTTTCCAAGGTATTACATGTTTGTAGCTTGTTTTCAATAAGTATATAAATTGTCCAAAGAGGTTGTATTCTAAAGTGTAATCATTGCGTAGGTGTGTAGTGTGATTCTGTGTAGTTTGGGACATTGCACGCTCACTGCTTGATAGCGTGCGAAGGTCCGTTTACGCCGGTTGTTAAACAACATCGTTATGGGGAAATGCAAGTTTGCGTCCAAATGGTTTGAAGATAAGGAGGAAGGACAATCAATACTGTACATAGTAAATGTGAGGTGAAGTGTGTCGCCAATGTAACCGGTTAAAACTCCAAGTGGCGATGAGGTCTTCAAATGTATGGAAAGGGTCTTAAAAAAGGTCTTAAAAGGTCTTACATTTGACTTCAGGATTCCTGCATATACCCTGGTAATGTAATGTAATGTGAGTGACACTCGCAGCTCAACGAGGCTCCCTCCTGTCAGACGGAGGGAGTAAATACAGCAGCAAGCTTTGGGACGGCCTCCCCTCTCCGGCAGAAACAGGAAATGCCGTAACTGTGTGTAACAACGGTTTCAAATCAGCATCTCTTAGACAAAAAGTTTAAATGAATAACTCAAATAAAACTCCAAACATCTTTCATTGTGTTTCAAAGCTCTTTTAGTTTTAAACCTGATGTTTATAAGCTTCTTAGTTTTTGCAACAGTCTGTAAATATACACAACTTTATAATAAAATGCACACATTTACCTTTTTCTAGACTAAACACAGGTTTGATCCTAAGTTAAAAACATATGAGGTTATCATGAGGTTGTTAACATCGTAGTTTATCAGTGGATGTTTGCTGGAACTACTTGTAAACAGCGTGTTTCCTGACAGGTAGAGACCGGTCTCAAGTCAGCACCGCTGCAGACTCGCTGTTTGAGGGCTTGATAGCCCACTCCCCCTCCACACTCGTTGCTTTGGAACAGCACTTAATGTGGCGGACCCTCCGCGCGAACGCGAAAACGGAGGGGTAGGGCGTGCTGTTCCAAACCAACGAGTATGGAGGGAGAGCGACGGGTAGTGGGTTATCAAGCCCTCCAGCAGCGAGTCTGCATCCGTCACGCTTTTTACAAACAGTTCCTGCTAACATTTGCTGATAAACTGCACAACAGACCTTTAATATCGTCATACAGATGTTAACAACTTCATGGTTACCTCGTATTTTCTAAACTTAGGATCATATACTGTACCAGTGTCAAGTCTAGAAAACTGTAAACATTTTCATTTGATTATAAAGTTGTGTATATTTACAGGGACTGTAGACCAAGCAGTTTGATAGACATCAGATAAAAAAACAAAAAGAGGTTTATAAAAAAAAACGCCACTGAAGATGTTTTGAGTTTTATTTGAGTTATTATTTTTTGTGCAAGGGATGCTGATTTCAAACCGTTGTTACGGCATTTCCTGTTTCTGCCAGAGGAGGGGGGGAGTTGGTTCCAAAGCTTGCTACTGTTTTAACACCCTCCACCTGACTACAGACAGAGGCCGTTTCTCAATGTAGAGTAAACCTGCTGCAGAGCCACTATTTCAAGTATACTACGTCATCGAGTAGCGCCAAAGGACTGTTTAAATGCATGTTAAATGCCCAGTATTCGGCGCTACTCGATGACGTAGTATACTTGAAATAGTGGCTCTGCAGCAGGTATACTCAACATTGAGAAACGGCCAGAGTTCACTCCATCACGAACGGGGTAGGGTGTGGTTTGAAATTGGGCCACTGATTACTTCCTGTCTGTCTTCTTCTGTTTCCCCCGTTGGTGTTTACTTATCGGAGCAAAGACAGTTTACAGATCAAGATCGGGTGCATCTTGTTTCATACTGTTCTTTTAAAAATAATGATTTATAATTGTGAGCATTCTGGCTCACACTAGGGTTAAAAACTGACGAAGGAGAAGGTGGTTTAGGGAAAAATAAAACTGTATTTCCACGGAGGGGAAGTTCACAAAAACCACAATTATAGTTAGCTCCGCTGATAATTGTTGAGCGTCAGCTTTTATAGGCTACTATATAAATTACCTAATTTCTCCTTAAACTATTAATGCATGTTCTGTGTTCTTACAACACTTTAATCATATACTGGATTATCAAATTATGTATTTCAAATACATGAATAAATTAAATGAAAAGGTTTGGTGGCGCTCCGCAGACAGTCCAGGTGTGTGTGGCCTGCTGCTGGCTCTGTTCATCCTATTTCAAAATGTAACGCTTCAAATGGTGCTTTACAGCTAATTATTTTACCTGACAACATGACCAGAGAGAATACAATTGGATCATCTACCGATTATTCTGGTCGAAGTCTGGTAAATACCAGGCTAGCTGAAGGAAACACTGCTGTACACATAACTCTGTTTTGCTTTGTGCTTTGTACTTTCAAAAGAATGCATCATGAAGTTCTGCTGCTGAACATTTCACAAATGATGACTGTAACAAATAGAACCATTGTGTTCTCTAATGTTTCAGTCGGACACTTACCTGTGCACAGCATTTTCGGTGCCAACTAGTCAAGATGCTTATATTGGTGAGTATATTTTCTTTAAAATCTTATTTCATAGTTTTTTGTAATTTTTATTTATTATCATTATTACTTTGATTTTATCTTTAATGTTATTAATCTGTGTGAATCTGTGCTGTCCTGTTTTTCATTCTTACCCTGTTGCTGTTTAAACCACTGAATTTCCCCACGGGGATTAATAAAGATCCATCTTATCTTATCTTATCAATTGAAGTTTACAGAAAACATACAGTATGTAGCCCATCTTTAAATGCAACAGTCAGACACTGGTTAGCTCAGTGGTTAGAGCAGGCTGTTCATATGTGACATGCTCCATCATACCATTCACATCCAACCATTTGGAAAGAGGATAGTCTTAGCTTTCCAATGATATCCCTATTGTGTTTGCTTTTCAGAAAAAATATTTTACATGACATAATGATTGTTACCAAGACACCATTTTGAGAAAAAGGCCTTTAAAGTTAGCTGACAATATTTAAGCGATCATTATTTCAAGAGGGGGCTCAAGGCTTAATATTTGGGGGCATTGCACCCCTTGGCACCCCCTTGGGACCACCGCTGGATTAGCTATGATTGGGACATTTGTGTTGGTCATAATAAAACTTAGCAGGCTGCCCCTCTCATAATGATCAACAGGTCAACATATGTGCTCTTTGCTGCCCAGAACTGCCCAGGGACACAGAGTCCTTTCCTCTGTCTCCCCCTTTTAACATGGCATCTATCAATTTAGGCACTTTCTGGACCAAAACATATCTTTTAAAAAAAAAAGCGTTATTGGTAACTACAGTCCAAAGTCACAGCAGCAGTACTTATTGATGTAAAACTAAATGAAATTAAGTACGATCAAGTAATTGACAAGTTTAGGCAGGACACACATTTAAAAAAAACAATCAGTTTGATGTAAATGCCTGTATGGATTTTATTTTAGATTTCATGAAACTGATGAATCTGAATACGACACAAATGGCCAGAGATAATTCATTCATACCCAAAGTGTGTTGAGTAGGTAAAGTATGTAATTAAATGTAACATATTTCAACCACAGTGTTTTCTCTTCTTCAGTGGACTTCAGACCTCATGCCAGTATGGACACAGTTCATCACATGCTTCTGTTTGGCTGCCTGACTCCCGTGTCCACCAGCAGTTACTGGTAATGTCACATTTCACACTGGTGCATTATCATGGATAATCGCAGCGCTGCCCACAGAACCTCCTTTAGCAGCATCGTTTTTTTATTGTATTAGTGGTGTGAAACGCTCCAGCAAAACATATTACACACCATTTCATAGCTGGTTCAAATAGCTTCCAGTATGAAATGTGGATGTTTGATTATAAGCTTTAGTTTGTCAAAACTCACGAGTGTTACCAGAATCAATTCACTGCTATGACATTTTTTTCTTCAAAGCAAATTGAAAACACTTGACAAAGAGCCTGTTCCTCCTTTATGTCTGCTGACATGGTGGACATGCTGCTCACATCTTTTGATGCCAGGTGTACAATTTCAAAACCCACAAATACCCAACCTATTTGCTATAAAGGTCTCTCGGTGCACTAATGATCACCACCTCAGCTCTACGAAGCTTTGTATTTTCTCTCCTGGTATGATGTAACTAGGTGGACTGACACAGAGGCATGTTAGGTTAAGAAGAGGTAGTGTTGGGCTGTGCAGCAGACAGAACATGATGACTGGCTCAGGGGTCAGCAGGCAGATGGGCCACTGTATCTGAGTGTGAGAGATAAGGGGTGTATTCACTCCAACTGGAGAGCAGTTTGGTGGCAGGTGAGAGGAGATGAGCCAAATGATGCAGGCCTATCTTACACTGTTTACAGAAAATGACACTAGATCCTACACATTTCACCTAAATATCTACATCTGCTTTCAATTCGAGAAAAATATCTCAATCACTGACTTTTAAAGAAATCAAAAATGTTTAGATTGAATTCAATAAATAAACGTACACAGACATACGGTTAATGTTAGTGCCAAAGTAAACACGCATATGGGTTTTAGCACTTTGGTTGAGTTACATATTATTGCACTACTGTTAGTTATCAGTAGATAACAGTAAATGTGGCCTTAGTCTCTTCCACACAGATTATTTTTATAGAATAAAATCATGCAGAGTTTTTTTTGCGAGAGAGTTACTTAAGAAGGGGAGCTCTGTGGCCTTGTATCTAACCACGACCAAGACTACATACATGTTTTCTACTTGATTAGATTTGAATGTATATTTATTTACACAAAGCCTTAAGGAGAAGAAGACTTGTAAGACTGCAACTGACATAACCCTTAGATCAGGCTTAGAACAACATGTACAAACTGGGTGAGCATAAGACCAGGCGTAGGGGGTGCAACAGACCCCCAGTACTCCAAATCAAAGGTTAGGCAGACACAAAATAGACTTTGGAAGAATATCATTTTGACTTTTACAATGATATGTCAACTAGCCACTCGCCCTTATTGGCAATGAAGTTTGGCGACCACTCTGTCATCAGGCAGGCAGACATTTACTCTTTCCAGCAGCAGCAGCAGCAGCAGGCAGTAAACAATACATACAATAAACTCTGATAAACCCAATGTACATTACCTGCTCAGCATCCAACAGCAGCAGACACATAAAGATACTACTGGCAAACAAAGTGGATCATTTAGACCTAAACAGAGCTAAAGGAGGATTGAATACTAGACGTAAATGACTCCACAACCCTTAAGTACATTTCTATATAAATTGTACTCATTTATTTATATTGCCCCCTTTTTGTTTTTAGCTACTCTACAAACTTAGTATGGCACAGTAACATACATCTAAAGCAAGTAACTGATACACCACGCCGGCTGGTAAAGATTTATATGAAGGCAGCTCTGGTGTGTCCTCGCTCATTGCTCCTCAAATATCCTTCCTTTCTTTAATCTGCACAGAGCAGAATAGCTTTGAGACGGTCTTCAAGATGGCGCAGGAGAGTGGCTTTCACTAGGTGCACAGATCCTGTGGGATGCACCCTCAGACATTTCTGCTCTGATTGTGTGCTAGTCCTTTAAAAAGGAAGTCACTGCCTCTTTGAATGCCCTCGTATTCTATCTGTTTCTTTAATGAGGTGTTGACTGAGCTGTTTTGTCTCTGAAGGGACTGTGGAAGTGTACAAGGCACCTGTGAGGATGAGGCATCCATTATGTACGCCTGGGGGCGGAATGCACCACCTACTAAATTACCCAAAGGTATGTTTGTTCAAGTATACGACTGAAAGTCATATATATAGCAGATATACTGTGTTTTTTCACTACTATGGCGGACTGGTATTCTCTGGGTAGATAAAATGAGCGTAATCCCACAGCTAACAGCTCAATGTCCGGGCTACACCATCGTTTGTTCACATACAGTGCAATCTATCCTCCTTTCTTCTTACCGCTCAGAATAACGTCCCTGTCCGCCCGAATGCTCGTGAAGCCGGGGAGAGCTGTGTTGTTATCCGGGATGAGCGGGTGCAACCATGTCTCCATAAAACACATGATGCTGCACTCACGGTATTCCCACTACGTCTTCGTCAGCACGCCGAGCACGTCCATCTTATTCCCCAAAGCCCTCACATTCCCCTTTATAATAGCCGGTACGGAAGGTTTGTATCTCCTCTTCTTCTTCATCTTCCGCTTGATTCCAGCCCTGCAGCCCTGCTTTAGCCTCCGAAGCTCCCCCGGGATGTCATGCCTGGCTCCGGGCAGCAGCACGGGTCTACACAGCGCAATCAGCTGCTCACAGGAGTAAACAATGCGGTCACTCCTCTGAGCATGACTCTCCGTCACAAAAAGTGAAAAAAGTAACAGAAGAATGACCTGGAACAAAACGTGGCCATAGTTAGTTACAAAACAAAAATAATTAAAACTGCGGTTGCAGATGTGCGCGCAGTGATGAGCGGGCCCTCGCGTCCGTGTGCCTGTCGGGGAGGGCAGCCGGTCGTCCCGGCGTCAAGCAGACGCGCGCGAGTCCTGGGAAATGAGCCGTTTCTCATTTCTATAATTTTCGCGTCCCAGACTCCCAGGTCCTCCGGCAGCGACCCGGAAACGGATGTCGGCGCGCCGTCTCGAAGGAAAACAATTTCTCTAAAGGCTCGTCGAGGATCGATTATCGAGGAGGCGGTCTGGAGGAGCCGTAACCGAGGGTCCACTGATGCAGAGGAGAGAGGAGTGTCTCTAGAGGAGCTATAACCGAGGGTACACTGAAGTATTCTCCGGAGACGATTTCAGCCAACAGTGATGTTTAAAAGAGGCGTGACGCATGGCTGGACTTCTGTCAACGAAGCACAGCTCTGCAAACTGTTCCCGTTGTGATTATAAGTTATGTGAGATGATCAAATGTGCATCAGACTTTCTACCCTTTACCGTTTGTTTACTCACTAATCACATGTCCCCTGGATGTTAGGCTATTTTTTTTTCAATACAACTGCTTTCATTGTGAGGCGATGTTTACAGTGAGAACAGCTGCTGAGGTCAGTGCAGAAAGCAGAACATTGTGTATAATATATATCGCTCAATATTATATGTAACAGGCCTACATTTCACACTTTATTTGTAGGCTTTAGGAGATATCTACAAATAAACAGTAGGGTTAGGGTTAGGGTTAGGGAGTGTATATGTGTCTGTTGTAATGAATATGCCGCCAGCAAAGGGCGTTGTTGGACTAACAGTAGGTGTGTGTGTGTGTGTGTGTGTGTGTGTGTGTGTGTGTGTGTGTGTGTGTGTGTGTGTGTGTGTGTGTGTGTGTGTGTGTGTGTGTGTGTGTGTGTGTGTGTGTGTGTGTGTGTGTGTGTGTGTGTGTGTGTGTGTGTGTGTGTGTGTGTGTGTGTGTGTGTGTGTGTGTGTGTGTGTGTGTGTGTGTGTGTGTGTGTGTGTGTGTGTGTGGTGTGTGTGTGTGTGTGTGTGTGTGTGTGTGTGTGTGTGTGTGTGTGTGTGTTGATGTGCCAGGCAAACAGGCAGGCCTCAGTAGCTTATCTGACATATAATTGGTCAAAAATGGTACATTCTGGACTTCCGGTTGGACGAACATGTGAGGGCTGCGTTGTCTCGTTCTCCCACGATTTTACTTTCTACATTTAATTTAAAACCACCGAAGTTGAGTTAAACCCGTATTGTGTGAACATAATTTGGACTATAAATCAGAACAAGCCGATGTGATGCCGAAACCTGCGTTGAAAACGGAGACGAAACAGGCAAAAAAGACCGAAACTGCTGTCTCAAGTGCAAGTGAAGTTGCTGGCGCGGACATGGCTAGCATAATTAGCCTGCTTGAAGAGCACAGAGCTAGCATTTCAGCTGATTTCAAAGCTGCCTTTGCGGTACTGGAGGCGAAGCTGAACCAAACGCAGACCACAGTAGCAGAACATGGGGAACAAATAGACTCTCTTGAGACCAATGCCAATCTGCAAGATCAGCGACTCCGTATACTCGAGGAGAAGTGTGCGGTATTAGCAGATAGCAATGCTAAGCTAGCTGCGAAGACCGCAGATCTGGAAGGTCGGAGCCGCAGAAATAACATTAGAATCATTGGACTTCCTGAGTCTATTGAGGGACCCCGGCCTACAACCTTCTTTTCTGAATTTTTGGTGGAGCTGCTAGGCAATGAAACTCTCTCATCCCCTCCCGAGCTGGACCGTGCACACAGAGCGCCGGCTGCTAGGCCGCAGCCAGGGACGAGACCGCGACCTGTGATATTGCGACTGCATCGCTACCAAGTAAAGGACCTGATTGTCCGGGAGGCCCGCAAGAGACGAGGGGATCTCCGCTACCGTGGGACACCAGTGCAGATCTACGAGGACTTCACACAGGAGGTTCTCGAACAGCGGGCGAAATACCGAGACATCATGTCAAAGCTGTACAACCTAGGCCTCAGACCGGCTCTTCTGTTCCCTGCTCGCCTGCAGATCACACTTGGAAGTGGGGCTAAGAAAAGGTTCCCCTCGCCCCTGGAGGCTGTAGCCTTTGCAGCTGGCTATGAACGCGAGCCGGCTAACTAACCACTGATGTTGTGCTAGGCTAGTGGTGGCTGAGCTAAGCTAGGCTAGGCTAAACCGCGCTGGCGCTGCATTGATGGTGGACTGGGTACGTTACAACCGTTATGTTGGGACACAATTGATTGTATAATCTAACGTTACCTAGCCATGACAGCGCACAATGCGACATGTTGTCTACATTTATTGTTTGTATGATTACATTTGTATATTTACACTATATACCCGGGGTGTTTTTTGCACTTTTTCGAATGTCCTTGTTAACTCATGCTGTTCACAATTGTTTCTGGGCACTTTACAGCCGTCGTTCTGTTGGGACGTCATTTCTTTTATAACTAACGTTGCTCGGCCAAGTCAGCAGACGATGTGACATGTTTACATCTATTTTAATTTAATTGTTTTCATTTTTGTATTTACACTATACCCGGGATGTTCTTGCACTTTTGCAATGTTCTTGTTAACATTTGCTGTTCACAATTGTTACACTTACTAAGGAGGTTGTATCTGCATGATGTGGGTACTGAGACACCTTGAAGAAGGAGAGATGATTCAGGTAGGGAAGTTATTGCCAATTTCATTGGCAGATGGAGCTCAGGGGTGGGGAGGGAGGGGGTCTAGGGCATGGGAGGAGGTGGGAAGGAGTAGAGGATGGGAGGGAGAGGGTGGGGCATTTATCTTGATGGGGCTACAGGTTTCCATTTGTTTGAGGCAGCTGTTTCAATTACATTCTGTTTTGTCATCTTTATGTACACTGTTCTCTCCATTTTTAGTTGTGGATGTTCTAAGGCTGATCTTACACCTTCGATGCTGTATGCAGTGTCATGGCTAATATAACTGGTACAGGGACTGGTGGTGGACAGGCGGTCAGGATACTCTCTTTGAACACTGGTGGGTTGAATGCTTCGGTGAAACGCACAAAGATTATGACACATCTTAAAAACCTGAAGGCGGATATAATGTTTATACAAGAGACACATCTCTGTAAATCTGATCAGCGAAAGCTGAATAGGCCGTGGATTGGACAAATGTTTCATTCACAATTTAACCTAAAGACAAGGGGCACAGCCATTTTAATTCGGAAAAAAGTAAATTTCACCCCTACTAATACAATTTTAGATCCAAATGGACGTTATGTCATCATTTCTGGTACTCTCTATCAGAAGCCGGTCATCTTAGTTTCTGTGTATGCTCCCAATTGGGATGATCATAATTTTGTGAAATCGCTATTCTCCACCATCCCCAATTTGAATTCCCATCTATTGATACTGGGAGGAGATATGAATTGTGTTATAGACCCAACACTAGACAGATCTAGTTCCAGAACTGTGGCGCCCTCTAAAACGGCACAGACTCTCTCTGCTTTTATGGACCACTATGGCTACGTCGACCCGTGGAGATTTTTACACCCCTCGGCTAGGCAATACTCTTTCTTTTCCCATGCACATCGTTCATACTCTCGCATAGATTATTTTATTGTTGATAAAACATTTATTTCGTCGATTGTCTCCGTTCAATACTCACCGATAACTGTATCAGATCATTCAACTGTGATCCTGGACCTTCACTTTGATCATAAGCCTAAGGAATTTAGATTCTGGCGTCTTGACCCTCTTTTACTTTCTGATGCAGCCTTTTGTGAGTGTATTTCGGAATCAATTGCATTCTTCTGTGAGACCAACCAAAATGAAGAGACCTCTGCGTCCCTACTCTGGGAAACCCTTAAAGCTTTTCTTAGGGGTAAGATCATCTCGCATACGTCTCATGTTAATAAACTTCGTAGAGCATGCCAAAGAGAACTGGAAGAATCTATCATTAATCTAGACAACCAACTATTTTCCACTCAATCACCTGATCTATCTAAAGAACGGATGGGGCTCCAAACAGAACTTGACCTTCTCCTAACAAGAGAGGCTGAACGACTCCTTCTACACTCACGAGGGTCTATATATGAACATGGCGATAAAGCTGGCCGTCTCCTGGCCCACCAACTAAAGGCTAGGGTGGCCTCGAACCAAATCACCCAGATACGGGACGGGTTGGGCTCTCTCACTTCTGACCCGGGAGAGATTAATAACATCTTTAAAACCTACTACTCTCGTCTCTACACGTCTGAATCCCCTGATAACGAAGATCAGCTACATACATTTTTGGATAAATTGGATATGCCCAAGATTTCGACTAACGACCAACAGACACTAGATGCCAACCTGCAGCTTG